AGAGAGATGCGAGAAAGAGGGACGCGGCGGCGGCAGCGTGTGCAGGTTCGTGATTCGAAGTAGGTGGGCCCCAGGTAGCCAGGACAGATAACACCCGGAGATTACCGCGGACAGAGTCATTAGCAGCGTCGGCTTCTGTGTCGGCCAAGATATTCTCTCACTTTCCTCCCCTGCCGTCCCGCTGCTACTTCCCCCCCGCTCGCCCCACCGTCCATTCGTCCGCCGTGCGGTTTTATCTGGTCGGTCAATTCACGCGGCACGATATATACACCGGATCGCTTCAGATCCTACCACTTACTTTCCATCCTCCGACCATCTTCCTTCTTCCCTCCTCCTCCCCCCCCTCTCTCTCTCTTTCTTTCTTTCGCCTTTTTGAGCTAGGCGCGTCCCGCGATACTTGCCTCCTCCCCCCTCTTCTGCCGCGAACCGTGTCCTCCTGCCTCCGTCTCTCCTTTTTTTTTATCCCTCTTTCGCCCGACATGTTCCACGGGCAGAATGCACCGCGAAAGACGCGCATTCGCCGCGCTCGAGCGAGCCCAGATTAGAGTCCGGAGAAATACTAATTGCTCCGATCGGCGTTCGCACATATTTTCCACGGCGCCAGAGGCGTGTCGAGGCCGAAGGTCCACGAGAAACGAGATAGAGACGAGGGGGGACCGCCGGGGCGTCGCGCGAGGGACCGGAAGGGGGACCAGCGGTGGTAGTGGCGGTGGCGAGGGAAAGAGTGAAAAAGAAGAGAGAGAAACATTCTGCTTTGATAGGCTAATGACAAACGCCTAGATTGCCGGCTTATCACCCGGCCAGCGCTAATTATTTCCCCTTTGTGCCGCGCCGCGCCGCGCATAATGGCGTCCGTGCGGGAACGAGCGAAGGCTCTCGCTCTCCTCTCCTCTCCTCTCTTTCCGCTTCACGTGTGCCGTGCCGATTTGCACGCACGAGCGGCGCGTCGACAAATTTTATTTGTTACCGCGCACGGTGGCGGCGAACGTTGAAGTTCTCGCCGTGGATTGACGTTGTCCGTTACGATCGGTCCCTTCACTTAAGCCTCCAGTGATTATCGACTCTGTTCACCGACACGGTGGACCTTTTGACCCCTGCGTTTCTTCCTCTCCCCGCTTCTCTGTTGACAATTTCTGTCTTTCCCCCCCGCGCGTCCAACGTGTGGACCAACGCAATTCGACGCGGACGAGTGGTCGCGGTTATTCCCGGATATTTCGCGATTCTGTCGTCCTTCTTCAATTTTTCTATCTCTTACCGTTGCGGAGATTCATCAAATTCAGTTCGGAGATCCAGAATGACCAGCCATGCGTCAATACATAGATACGAATTGTGTGATGTTGGACATTTCGATTACGAGATAATATAACATTTTCGTATCTCTCGGTTAATTTTAACTTTAACAAGCTCTTGGCGCAGAAGCTAATTGCGAGTTTTATTTTCAACGTTATTCTCGTATGAAATCTTACGCGAGATTTTCGAAAAATAAATTTCTCTGGGGTTTTTCTTGCCATACGCGGGACATGCCGCGATATAACGCCGTCGGGATGCATTGCTAAGAAGCGGTTTCGAGAATTTCAAGTTGGCGCTATTAAGAACTTTCCTCAGCATTGAAAACTTTTCTGGAGTAATTTGCCCCCTCTCCCTCCCCCCCCCTCGCTTTAAAGAGTCATGATCCTTTAGCCGTACCCGTTCTCCTCCGCATTTATCGACAGCAATTTGCGATTCGTTGAAAGGACACGCTACACTCGCGTATCCGCTTTCCAACCGCGAAAGTTCCCTCTTTGAGCAGCACGTTAATTATCCAGATTCCGCGGGTGAAGCATTTGATGCATAAACAGATTTATCAGCCAACACCAAGGACGTTGTGTCCATTTGTTCGTTTTTTTTTTTTCGTCATCGTTGACAGAATGTTCGATCTTGTTAGTTGTTCCCGCGACACAAAGCGAGATACCCCGAGCGACGGTATCTGCATAAAGCAGAAGGAGGGTGCGGAGAAACACGCGACGGCATCATAAAAGGACGCAGGAAAAAACTGAGACAGAACTGGTGTCTCGTCGAAATCGAGGGGGATTATACACGCACTTTTTCCAAATCGCGCTCTCCAAGTGTTTCTTTCCTCCATCGTTTCGCTCATTTCGCTCACGTGACATTCCGTTGTGCAGAGGTAGATAATACGACGTGTAACCCGAGTCGAAATTTTGGCCCTATATGTCGTACCTTTAATTCTATTATATAGCAGGACCTAAGACAGTAAGAGAGGTCGAACTGTTCTCTGAAGTCAATCAGTGAGATTATCACTGAAAACAGTGATCAACAGCCACTGATTTACAATTATAAGTTTATCACTTCGATTTTCAGTGGTATACTCATAACTGCAACTCAATGACTATTCACTGTTTTCAGTGATAATTTACGGATTGATTTTTAGAGAGTGCAAGTATAAAATTTGCTCCTACTTTAAAACTGATAGTGTCGGAAATTTCTACTTTTGCCAATTTAGCATTAAAGTAGGTAGGTCCTTTTAAGTAGGAGCTAAAGTAACTTTTTAGAATTAAAGATTCAAGGGAGGAGTAAAAAATATAATGTCATCAAAGTAGGTTATCGCTGGTCTATGTAGGCGTAGAGATCAGCTAAGTAGGTGTAAATTATCCTTAAAAGTGTCCAAAAGTACCAAAATTTCGACTCGTGGAAATTGATTAAATATGTAAATGAAATATTTCTGTAGAACGCATTTTATTATCACAGCGGTTAGAATTGTTGTATAGAATAGATCCACCATGTCAATTTTAATTGATAGATTTTTCTCTAGAAACTCGTGACGATGCTTTTCGATCGATAAGCGTTTTCTTTTTATAAAATTGAGAGAAGATTAAATTGTGTATGTGTACTGGTATGTCGTGGAGAGCCGATACCTTTCGCATTATTATGTAATGATGTGGCCTTCGCAGTTAATTAAAGAATACTGTAAAAATTGTAAGGCTTCCGCGAACGATTCCCGGCATGTCTGGCTAGGTTTCTAGACTAACCCGGTATTAATACTTTAATGATATTGCTCACGATATCGGCGAAAAAGTTGGGTCGAGGTACCGCCCGTGTCCCGTATCTTGAGAGAAGTTCATAAAAATAATGTAAAATACTTTATTGCGTACAATTTTAGCTTCCACGGCTGAAATTTCTCGCAAAACTCGTTTGGCGCGCCCCGAGGCGCATCGGGTCCGATTTAAAGATGCGCGAGCCACAACAATCTCGGATAATAAATGTTTCCTTTGACGAACGCGCGAGAGGATTCCTCTCTTCGGTTTAGCAGAAACATCGCGATCTCGGTGGCGCGCGGTGGCGGGTGAACCGGTTCCGGCGCCAGGCTGAAATTAATCTCGCCTCTTCGCTCTCGTACGAATGTCGTCACGATATACGGGCGATAAGCGCCCGGCATCGATACGTTTTATTTAGCCAAGTGGCAGCCGGGATTGCGGGATTCCGGATTGAATTAATAAGCGAATTCGATTGAGCGGCCGACCGATATCCCAGAATACGGCCGGCCATGTTTCGGAACCTATCGATCACCATGTGTGTATGCGCCGAATAACCGCCGTATAAATTATGCCGATGACGATTGAGGTCGGCGCGACGCCGCTGCCAGAGCCTGGGGTGGAATAGTCGGACTGGCCCGTCGCGGATCCGGTCCGAGAATCCATCTTCGTGAATTCGACGGCGGAATCGAGCGATGACACACGCGGCTTCCGGTTATCGATCGCACGGCCTTCACGTCGCCCGGTAATTTGCTCGTTACCGCTCACGTATTAATCTCCCTTTCTCTCTCCGTCTCTCCCGACGCATGCGACGGACGCGTGCGCGAGCTACGCGAGCTCGCCCTTTTCGTTTTGCGTGCCGGAATATTCTGAACAGCCCTTCGGATCGGATAATAAAAGCAACGCGTGCGCGGGCAAATTTGCTCCGGACGCGACGTGAGCCTCGCGAGCGACTCGCACGTGCATACTCGCGTCCGTTTAACAAGATCGATGGGCGTCCGCCGTGTAACGCAAGCCTTTTAATCGCGGGATGAGGTCAATAAATTATCGCGATCGGCAAGTTCGTTATACTTGGATAATTTGGCAAATTTATATGAACAGCGGCAATTTGGCGATAGGCGCGACGAAATGTACATACCGTTGTAGATAAATACGTAGCTATTTTATCATAGCTATTTCTGTTGATTAGCGAATCAGTCAAGTGCTAATAAGAGGAACGTCGGGGATGTCACTGTCAAATAATTGCGTTTCCAGTATGCAAACGCGTAACCAATCGTCATCGTCGGCGGGCGATAAAGTCGCGCCGAGAGCTCGAATTGCGTTTTGCAGACTTTGTATCGACCAGCACGGCATGATGCATCAGTGTAATAGCCGCTTTGCCAAGCTCATGCCTCCTCGGCCCGCACGGAACTTTATGAAATACTTGCACGAAGATTAATTAACCGGGAGAAAAGAGTAACGTGCCGGCGCACGCTCTCTGATTGTGTGATTAACGGCAACACCTTCTTGACACTTTTTTAATCTGACGTATCTCTATATTTTTCTTCGTGCAAAATCGCCCTCTCGTGTCTCGCGCCGCTTTTGTTTTCTTAATTTTGCGCCGTGCGCCGTAGATCACTCTCAGACCACGCTCGCGCGACGGCTAATCACGAGACTTCCGAGCTCCGCGATTTGCGCTAATTGGAACCGCTCCGAACGTAGCTCGTGAGAATGAGAAAGAAGTCCACTTTGTACAAAGTTTCAAGATAATCGAAAAAGCGTGGAGAAAAAAAAAAGAACTCGAAGTCACCTGGCGTGTTGCACTTGCTCGTAAGCTCGGCTCGCAAATTTTAGTTATCCGGGTCGATCGCGTGGTCGAGTGATTGGTCTGACGGTGGGAGCGAAGCGAAATAATTGCAAACGTTCTTTGCCGAAGCTAGCCTAAAACAATCTGTCCCAATGTATGATCCCTTTCTTATTGCAGACGATACTGAACTCGATGCACAAGTATCAGCCGAGGTTTCACCTCGTGCGAGCCAATGACATTCTGAAACTCCCGTATTCGACGTTCAGGAGTTACGTTTTCAAGGAGACGGAATTCATCGCCGTGACGGCCTATCAAAACGAGAAGGTAAGCGACCTCTGGCTTGCTCAAACGCACGTATCGTCCACACGCGGTGGAGTTCTTGCGTCAGATTAATTTTGGAAGAGTGCGATCTTTCGAAAAACCGAAGAATCCACATTCTAGTAGACCTTGTAACTCCGGCAACTCCTGCCAGGAGAGGCCAGCGTGAAATTCACTTCACATTATTCGTACACTCACAGCAAAAATTTCCGGATTCAATGCTGTTACATTTCAATGTATCGTAAAATAGGATCAATAGGAATATTTTAATCTTCTAAAATCTAGAATAAAATGATAGTACGTATCTTTTGTCGAATATCGCGGTGCCAACTTCGTACGTTGTAAGTTGGATGGACAATTTATTCTACTGGAGATGACCAAACGCGCGCTTCGCGCGCGCAGTTTGTAGTTGAGCATTGTATATTTTTAAGAATTCCTATACATGCAAAGAAGTAATTGTATGCGCAACGTCAATTTAAAATAAAAAGTAATTTATAACTCACTGATACGATTCGCAACCGCAGAGTTGTACATCATGTATGTTAAACAGTAAAAATACACATATGTATATGATTATAGTATAGTCCA